CGGAGCAGTTTCTTCACCATCTGTAGCTCAATTTATAAAGAACAAGAACGCTGAGAACTTCGAAAATCAATATCCAGGAGTTTGTCGAGCAATGAAGAAACAACACTATGTTGACGACTACCTGGACTCATTCTCTTCAGAAGAACTTGCCATTCAACGAGTCAAAGATGTCATACATGTCCACAAACAAGCTGGTTTCAACATGGTTAAATGGATAAGTAACTCGAAAGCTGTTATCGAATCTATCCCAGTTGATTTACGTGCTGATTTTGACATGGACTTGAAAATTGACTCTGAAAATGTGGAGAGAGTTCTGGGGCTCTCCTGGTCACCAGCAAGAGATACCTTCATTTTCTCATTGAATTTCAAGAAGATACCGGAAGAGATATCTAGCGGGCGTAAGGTACCAACGAAACGTGAAGTCCTTAGAACAATCATGTCAGTTTTTGACCCACTTGGATTCCTGGCGCCGTTGATGGTGAAGGCTAGAATTCTTATGCAGAACGTTTGGAGGAGTAAAGTCGATTGGGATAATGAGATTTCCGAAGAGCTCTTCTCAAAATGGCAGTTATGGTTGCAAGAGCTGAAGAAATCATCGCCAATTACAATAAGAAGATGTTTTTTCCCCAATATCAATCATGTGATCGATGTTGACATTCATATGTTTTGCGACGCTAGTGATAAGGCATACTCTGCAGTAGCATTCCTGAGAACGGTGGTAGATGGAGAGGTACACACCAGTTTTGTAACTTCAAAATATAAAGTTGCTCCATTGAATCAGCAGAGTATACCAAAATTAGAGCTGCAGGGAGCTGTATTAGCAAGTAGGCTAGCAAAGACTATTATTTCAGAGATTGAGTATAAAGTCAAAGAAGTGCATTTCTGGACAGATTCACTTGTTGTCCTGAAACAAATCCGATCCGAGTCCAGGCGCTTTCCGATGTTTGTGGCATGTCGAGTCGGAGAGGTACAGGAGGATACTGACGTCTCTAAGTGGCACTGGATACCCTCGAACTTGAATGTGGCGGATCTAGCAACCAAAGAACTGACCATGGTAAATTTGCAGGAAGACAGCGAATGGTTTCAAGGACCCCCCTTCTTAAGGGGATCGAAGGAGTTCTGGCCACGCGAACCAGTATGTTCGGAGGGAAATGAATCAAATGTTGTGATGGTAGTTGAAGATCAACCTAGCGAACTCACGATATTACCTGAAATTAGTCGATTCTCGAAATGGTCTAGGGTTATCAGAGCTACTGCATGGATTTTACACTTCAGAAATGTTTGCAAAAAATCTAAAATAGATAGACCAATCGATTTACTGCTAAACGTTGAAGAAATAAAAGAAGCGTCGAAATTATGGATGAAGAAGAGTCAGTATGATACATTCAGAGGAGAAATACGAATGCTGAAACAAGAGAAGAAATTATCGAAAAGTAGTCGACTCTTCAAATTGAATGCATTCTTGGACGAAGATGGTATTGTTCGTTTGAAAGGAAGATTTCCTGATGATGAGGCATTACGGCTAGACTATGACTATAAGTATCCAATGATTCTAGATCCAGAACATTTATATACCAAGTTATTAGTTTTTCATTACCACCAGCAAGCTGGTCATATTGGTATTGAGACAGTAGTAAATAACTTGAGGCTCAAGTTTTGGATCTTGAGAATGAGAGCTGCTGTTAAAAAATGTTTTAATAGATGCCAAGAATGTAAAATTCGGCGATGTAAGCCAATAGTTCCTGAAATGGGGATGTTGCCGGAACAAAGATTGGAACCTTTTGTTTTTCCATTCACCTATGTGGGAGTAGATTTTTTTGGGCCCATGGTTGTTTCAGTTGGAAGAAGACGCGAGAAAAGGTATGGGGTACTATTCACTTGCCTCACAATCCGAGCCGTTCACATAGAAATCGCTGCGAGTCTCGATACCAGTTCTACCATAATGGCCATACGTCGTTTCATCTCAAGACGAGGACAACCCAAAGAATTCTTCTCCGATAATGGAACAAACTTTGTTGGCGCAGAACGAGAATTGAGGGAACTTGTTGAAGCGATAGAAGACTCTAGAATATCTACTGAGCTCTCTTCAAGAGGAATTTCATGGAAGTTCAATCCACCGAGTGCTCCGCACATGGGAGGAATTTGGGAACGGATGGTGAGGTCCATGAAAACTGCTCTCAAAATAGCACTCAAGACGGTTCGTCCGAAAGATGAAGTTTTATCAACATTACTCACCGAAATCGAGTATACAGTGAATTCACGGCCACTGACTCACATCTCAGTCGATCCCAATGAACCCGAAGCCTTGACACCAAACCATTTTATTTTATTGAGACCTGGATCCACACAAAATCTAGGAAAAGTTGAAAATGAACTCCTGAGCAAGAAGCAATGGAGGATTGCTGAAAGTCTTGCTAACGCGTATTGGAGACGTTGGATACAAGAATACCGCCCAACACTAATAACTAGAAAAAATTGGGTTTCTGAAACTGAACCTATCCATATTAGTGACATATGTATCATAATGGACGAGAAATCTCCAAGAAACGAGTGGCTGATTGGAAGCATAACCAAAGTTTACCCTGGGAAGGATGGAGTCATCAGAGTCGCAGATATCAAAACGAGTAAGGGAAGTTACAAACGACCAGTCTCCAAACTTTGTATCCTGCCAACAAGAGGTGAAGAATGAAGTCCTTCACGGGGTGGAGAATGTTGCAGTTATTTTTATTGTTATTAAATGGGATCACGTTTCCTCTGTACATGAGACAATGGATGTCAGAGTTTGATCAACAATTTTGAAATGTTATGTCATTGACTTGTAATAAAGTTCAATATTGCAATTCAGTCGTTTAGTACTTAATAATTCCTTAATTTCTCCAGTATATAGACTTAATCAAAAAATATAAAGGTTACATCTCATTGCCGCAACTATATAGTACTTGAATAATAATTCAGTATTATAAATGTGATATCGAAAGTGACAGTGCCAGACTATGTTTTTCAAAGTCATGTATAGGTAATAAACGGAATTCAAATATGTATAATCCATGTACAATCTTTATTGAGTTTCATGATTATGATTCTGATATAAATACGAAGTCCTCGGTAAATTTTATATAGTATACTAGGAAGAATCAAACAATAGAGGAAAACTGTGACTTATGAAAATGATATTATAACCACCATGAAAAATACACAAAGAATTTCTTTAGATATATCCTCCACTTCTATATAGGTATCCCAAAATCAATTGCCAAAGAAATCTTTAATTTATTTTGAACACAAAGATTAACCGCCAGTTGTAAGTTCTTACTCATGGAATGTCAAATGTCTTAAGCTTCTCTATCTCGAGAAACTTAACTTGAACAACAAGCAATCAGTTATTTTTATACCAATGAGGCAGTGAAGAATATCATCATAACCCAGGGACTAAAATTTGGAAAATTTATACTTTTTGAATCCCCACTATATCTACGAAGTTCCTCAGCAAAAATGTCAAATTGAAATCTCATCCCACACAGAATTTCACGCAGAACCCAGTGGCACACTCAACATTTTTTGTCGGGGTATGGTTCTGGAGATACGACTCAAACTCATGATTTTTTGGATGCAACACCCTACATTTCATTATATAATCAGCAGCTAGGGATTATTATAACCCTAATAACACACATGTCCCTGTGGGACGCACAATTGCCCCACTTGAGGACCTTGAGGGATGTCCCTGGGACAACTATCGAATACCTAAATCCTACAGCATTTCTCATCAAGCACTACAGAGGATATCCTTAGGATATCCATTGGACAACCTATGAGCAACTCTGAGGGATATCAATTGGATGCCCATAGGATGTCCCAGGGACGTACGAATTATTCTTGAATTCGAATTTTTCTGGGTCCCTCTAGGACCAGATCTTGTTCAACTGATTAGGACATCCAGTTGAGTTGATGGTCCGTAGAAGGTCCCCAAAAAGTTTCCCAAGGATGTCCAATGGACTCACGTGAAGGACATGGACGAGGAGTACTTTTATAGCCTACGAGGAATCATTCGTCGGCGAGGTGTAAGTTAACGTCCTCGCAGGGACAACATATTGAAAGTACCGACTGGGACGTCCATAAAACGTTATTTCTAGGACATTGGAAGAGTACAGTTCATGTACCAATTAGGACATCCGACGGATATCCCTAAAGGACATTTCGATTGTTATACGATCCTGGAAATATTAAGGGCGCCTGTGCGGAGATATTTGAAGGAATGTACCATCAGGGACATTTCATGGTTGTCTAGAAGGGGCATTATATAAGATCTGAAGTCAGAATATGTACTAATCGGGACATCCGATGGATGTCCCTAGAGGAACATTTAAAATCATATCCCATCAGGGACATGCCAAGGACGTCCTTGCATGGACATTCTACAATATGTACCACGTAGGACGTCTAACAGATGCTATTTCTAGGACATTTGAAATGATGTACCAGCTGGGACATTCCGTGGACGTCCTTGCTCGGACATTGCATGAGATGTACGGGATGGGACGTCCCAAGGACACTTATTTTTGGTTCGGGACATTCGGACGTGAATTGTACCAAATAGGGATGTCCCTAGGACGTTGTGTGCTATTAGGGAACCAACTGTGAACCGGATTTAATTTTGAATTTTATTTCTTATAATTAACCCTAACCTACTATGGAATGAAATATCTATAGGGTATGCTTTCCGTGAAACCGAAAATTATGGGACACTACCTATATTATGAAATATTGCAACATTTTTAATTTTCAAATCCAACGTCCCTGCCAAATTTGAATCTCATACATTCGAAACTCTGGGAACCATGGCTACTTGAAAATTTTTTCTCGCATACAATGATTACTCCGTTTTCTATTTTTGTTTGCTTCAGTTATAACTTGTAACACCATGTATCTCTCACAAGGATAATTTAACATAAGTATCGCTAGAATATGAGAACTATTTCTCTACGATAACATTGAACACGTACGTTTCAAAATTGTGAACAATTCACAATAACCATATATCTTTATGACAGTGGATACTTTAAATCCACAAAAATCTCGCTTGACAAATTATGAAATCAGTAATTCGCAACAGTTTAAATGAACCGGAGAGTAAATTCAATTAATATTAATAACAAAATCATTCATCATAACCAACGCTGGGCATTGATAAATAATACAATAATCATAATCTGTTCTTGACAGTTCTTGTTTTAGTGTAAATAAGCAATATGACCCTTATCAGTTTGATCAAGTAAGTTCTTGTATACACCTATTGACCATAGACATTAGATAAATTATTATAGGGATAGGCAGCTGAAAAAGGTCGTTTTGTAGGAAGATCAAATAGGTACCCATAAGGACTATATGCCTTTCTTTACGTCATTGATTGTGTTGATTATATATATTTTCATAGAAAAATGATTTTCATTTAGCAAGGTATGTCATCCATTTTCCAATAGTGATGGAACTTCTTTTATTTAAAAGTTTTCTGTATTTCAGCCTGATGATGACTCCTAGGAGTCGAAACATGTAGCACGTATTTGTATTAGAATTCACTTGGAATGAGACTTTGAGTTTGTTCTCTCAATTATCTCATCATCACCTCCAATTTGAGCATGGACTAATACCAGAGATTTATATAGAAAATATTGTGAATCAGATACGGAAATTAGATGTATGATATAAAAAAAACTTCACTGATTTATTGATCGATTACAGTAAAAATTTTGTGTTACAGCCGTATAGAAAAACCTAATTGTATACATTCATCAAAAACCGCTTAAAATTCATTATTTGATTGTATAACTGATTCAAAAACCGCTTAAAAGTAATTTTTAAATTGCATAACTGATTCAAAATTGATGACCTGCCTACATTTCTTCGTGAACTTTTGCTGAGAAAATCATCAAAATCAGATGTTTGGTTTGGTGTCAGTGGTGTGTCTTCTAGCAATCTGTATATACTTGTACACTCTAAAAAATTAAATTTCTAGTTGCCTGTTCATTTTGATAAAAATATAAAAAAACTTTAGGTTTGTCTCGGTTTCGTGAAACATTCAATACAACATTGCTAAGTGAAAATCAGTGATTCGCAACAGTTTAAATGAACCGGAGAGTGAATTCAATTTGAATAATAAACAAAATAATTCGTCATGACTTTGACCAACGCTAGCCAATGATAAGTTCTTGACAGTTTTTGTTCAGATGTAACAAGCAATATGACTGTAATCAGTTCGATCAAGTGAGTTCTTGTATATGTACAGGGTGTTTCTGGAAGGTTTGTAAAAAATGATACCATATAGACTCCTGAGACCAAATTTTGAATTGACTCGGCCGTTACTTGATGGAAAACCATGGCAAATGTGAAAACTTCACAAACGATAAGATTTCCACAAAATTCTGAAAAACACGACATTTTTCGCTAACACAGTACCTTCGTCAGGTGATATACTGGTACAACGAACTAAACTAACGTTGGCTTGCTTAACTTTTTCATATTCTACTTTCCCTAGCTGAGGACTGAATGATCGTTAGGTAAAATGTCACAATTTTTGAGTTTGTTGATTTTTTAATGATTTGAAATGATTGAGTTCCATTCCTTTATTTCCTACGTGTAGAATTTCGGAATTATCATCAAAACTATGGTCCTCTTCTAATATATGGTTGGCGTATGTTGAATTTGTTTTCTTCATCAAGAAATTCACCTTATGTTCATGAATGCGCTGACTAAGAGTACGACCTGTCTGTCTGATACATACCTTTTAGGACAAGATCCACAGTGTTTATTATTTTGATGAATCTTCCCAACGTGCCATTTGTTTCATATGCAATAAGTCCTGTTATTGTAGAAATGAAGCTAATTTTTCTGTTGGTGATCCTAAATAGGTTAAAGTTTTATAATTTTGATTATTTTTCTCTATGGTAGGATACCTACCATCATTATTTTAATTATTATTCTTGATGGTAGGATACCTATCATCAAGAATAATAATCAAAATTAAAGAACTGCAACCTATTTTGGATCACCAACTGAAAAATTACCTTAATTAATAAAGTAGCAAATAGAACAAAAAACACGTTGGGAAGGTTAATCAAAAATAATGATGACAAAACTTTCAAATTTGAAAAATCAGGTTTTTTATACAAACTCATGCTGCTATTCTACCGGCCATCTATGTAACTTGAATATTTATGTAAGGTATGTAGGATACAGACCCTGTAACAGACATACCTACAGATTCTGTTAATTTAACAGAAAATAGTATTCTGCCAAACATTCAACCCCGTGTCGGAATTTACGACTGTCCTCTTACTGATATTGAAAGATAGCTAACTTCATAGCTACTCATTAACCTCACATTTCAGGGTTGGTTTTGATAGATTCAAAAAGAAAATGGATATTTCAAAATGGTAATTATCTGTATCAATTGTACCATTGACTAATTGTCCGTCTTTTATGGTTATATAATTCTTAAATTCGACTGATCCTATTATTAATGAGTAACAAATTCCATTTCTTATACCTTCCAGCTTCTTCTAGAACGATACATCCAAACATATATGAAGATTCCTTATAACATCCATATTATTACCTACATAAGGAATTTAACAATTACAGTGAGAAAATCGGGTCCATTGAAATGTTACATACGTAATGTCATTTTATAGAAATATATCGAAATCGCACTGGCAGAATACCGATCTCCTTACATTCTATAAATATGGAATTATACATAGTCTATATACAGAGTCTGTACTGGTGTGCAGAATAGCAGCATCAACTGTGGATCTCGTCCTAGGGTATATATCGGCCAGACAGGTCGTACGTTCAATCAGCGCATTCATGAACATAAGATGAATTTTTTGAAATAGGAAACAAATTCAAAATACGCCAACCATATTATATTGGTAGAAAACCATATTTTTGATGATAATTTCGAAATTCTGCACGAAGTAAATAAAGGAATGGAACTCGATCATTTTGAATCATTAGAAATCAAGAAACTCACAAATTCTGACATTTTACTTAACGATCAATTAGACCTCAATAGCTCACCTTTATCGAATTTGTTTTCTTAGTAGGTAATAATATGTATTTGCTATCAACTCCTTCAAGTTAATCCGGTACACCGTATTTTAATGTAGATAATGTGCCCAATTTCCAAAAATGAAGGTTTATCGAACCTGTCCACAGGTAACTTATCCTTCAGGTTGGGAAAGTAGGATATATAAAAGTTAAGCAAGCCAACATTAGTTTGGTTCATTGTACCAGTATAGTATATCTTTTGAATACTCGACATCATCGAAAAATCTAGGACTCATCATTGATGAAAAATTAAGATTTGTCGAACATGTCGAGACATTAATACATCGCTCATATGCAAGTTTGGGATTGCTCTTTGCAAACGAGAGCATCATGAGTTTGAATCTGAGAAAACAATTATGTGAGTGTCTCGTATTGTCAATTTTCCAGCATTGTAACATCGTTCATTTTCCCTGTTTAGAACAAAGAACAATTTACAGAATTCAGAAAATTAAAAATACATGTTATCGACTCATTTTCAATTTGAGAAAATATGGTCATGTGTCCCATAAACCAAGGGAACTTCAGTGGTTAGATATGAGCAATTCCTCAAAATATTATTTCCCCAATTTCATTCACAAGTTGCTTAAGGATTCAACTCCAGCTTGTCTTAGAGAAAAATTCATTTTCAGACAAAATGTCCATGATATAAATGTTAGACATCAGCTAAAATTAACAATGCCTCATCATAACACGTCTCTGTTTGAAAGAAGTTTTACATACAACTCGGTAATACTGTAGAATTCATTACCAATAGAATTCAAACAATCACCATCGAAGCAATTCCGTAAGAAAATTAAGAGCAATTTGTTGAATCATACTTCACATGTGAGACAATAAGTGAAAATGTAGATGTCAAGCTAGATTTAGGATTTTAGGATTAGTATTAGGATTAGGTTATAAGTCGAGCACAGGTTAAGTGTAAGAATAGCTTCCTAGCTAAACTTGCCTGATGCACATACCACCTATGCCTCATGTTACTATGTAATATTCTTTTGAGGAAATGAAGACGGATTATTATTATTATTACATCACCAGACGAAGTTACTGTGTTAGCGAAACATGTCGTGTGTTTGGGAATTTGTGAAGTTTTCACATTTCCCGAGTCCAAAGTGAGATGATGAGACTGAACTCACCCCTATACCAAAATTCTCCGTTTAGCCATTTTATACAGGACGTCGGAATTGAATTTTTTTTTAGTTCATTTCAATATTGTCTTCAAATATCAATCTGAAATTTTGTAGGTTCACTTGAAGGATTATTATGCATTGAAAAGATTCCATACCATTTTTATTGACATACAGGTTGTTACATATTTGGACTACTGTTTTTTCCAAGTACGCTACTGAGCGGATCTGAATGTTGTTTTCTATCTCCTCATTCAATACTCAACTTTCAGCTATCTTGAAAGTTTGTGATATTTCAATAGCGTTTGCAAGTGGATTGTCTAAATTCAATCTGATTCATACCTGATACTCTTCAGAATCTCCAGAATCATTTAATTATTGTAATTTTGTAATCGATTTTCGTATGAAATCATCAAAAATATCAATGAAATTCAATATGTGGCACATTTTTCTCTACGAATCCAAAAGACAGGGTATTGCATATTGAAGGTAAGTTTGGTTCAATCATATCACTTTGGTCTCAGGAGTATATGGGTATCATTTTTCACAGACATTTCAGGGACACCCTGTTTATAATGGCCAAAGAAGATCAGAAGTTCGTTTTGTAAGAAGATGCAATTGTTTTCAATATCAAATAAGTTGGAATATAGTAACCGAGTATAAAGAATCAAACAATTGATTCATTATTTCCCAGTTAACACAGGATATCTTATGGATATCCATTTCAAGTCCACGGCCGTGGACTTAAAATGTATATCCATAAGATATCCGATTGCGGATGTACTTGAGATATCCGAAACAAACGTCTTGAATACGTCCATAGGATATCCATAAGATACAGAGACAAAAGATTAATACCTAGAAATTTCAAATCAAGTATACAATGAATGAAATGATAAATAACACTTGTGCAAGGGTCTTCCAAAAGATAGCACACATCGTGATGCACTATCTGCTATTATTATTAATTCGGTTCTCAAAAACAGCGCGAGGTGGCGTATCGTCTCAAATAGTCCAAGATTGGTAGAACTGATGACTATTTATAGATCATGGATTCTGTACCAACCTTGGAATAGTCAAATAATGTCAATCTGTTCTCATATTTAATCAATTTGAAGTGAATTTGGGAGTGATTCCTACGAATTCGTCCAAAATTGATGATGCATAAGAACTGACAACTACATTATTCGAACGCAGTGAGACGTGAGTGCTTCCCAATTTATGTGATTTTTTCTATATATATATAGGGTATACTATCTCTTATCAATATCCATAGTTGATATCTTATGGATATCCATAATGAATATCTCTAAGACATCCAAAAAGGTCACACGGTCACATCCTATGGACGTCCATAGGATATACCAGAACCTTTTTCGGATATCTTATGGACATCCGCAATATCCATGATGGATATCCATAGTATATCCATGAGATGTACTTGTGCTATCTGGGTTGGGACCACATGAACAAATAACATTAACAAACACTATTCCGATGTTCACACAATACTTAATGCTGATTTTCATTCGCAGATTACATAAGAAATCATGTATAATAACAGCAATATTAGCGTTAGCTGTGGTGGTGATTGTTGCAGTTGCTCTAGCTGTGGTGTTGCCAAGAAGTGAATCAGCGAACAAAGGAGTAGTCGTATCGAATGGATATTGTTGTTCATCTATAGGAGTGTGAGTACCTACCCATTATTCCATCATTTTTGTTGAGTATACCTTAATTTTGGATATACTTTACAGCCATCTTATGATAGTACGAGAGATGGTGACCACAACCATATTTCATAGCAGCCTGGCTAAAACCGTGTGAAATCTATAAACTAGATTAGAGTCCCTGTATATACCTCAGACAAGAGTCCGGACACAGCTATACTTCTGTCCTCTTCTGTTTTCAAAAAATGCATTGATGATTGAATAAAGGAATAAGACATATATATCGAGCTCTGTATTTTCAATTCCCCTAGTATCAATGATTGTCAGAAACAATTTTGAGGGTTAGATTATTTGTCAAACCGTTCATAGCGGTAGGTAGAAGTGAGAAATAGGGCTATTTTAACTAGAATAACTATTAGATTCTCAAATAATGAACAACATGAAAACTAGGACGTGGGTGGCATTTTCACCAGAATTTTCTGATGTTTCAAAACTAAAAGTTTGAGAAGCAAAAGCAGCAGTCTCTCTCAATGTCCGAGTAATTCTCTATTTTCATTTTCAAGTAATGGAGAGATTCTATCAATATTCCTGGATTGAGAGCAATGTGTTCTATTTTCCTCGATAGGGTTCTGATTGTAGGAAATGGAAATTATAATTTCAACAGGTGTTCATATCCAGTGGTACCACTAGGAAATTTGATAGCGAGTGCTTTATCAATTTTGTCGGTTCGCACCTCTTGCTGCAGTCTACATACGCCTGTGAATTTTGAATTTGATCTGAATTAAAAACACCGTGGACTGATGACAAAGGACATTGCAATTTCTCTAAATCTTCTAGTTTTGATTTCAAACTTTCAATTTCTTCCCGCATCATCTCATTCTCATTTTCTTTCTCTGCGATCGTATCATTCAGTGATTCCCAATACGATGACGACGGAACTCTTTTTTTGAATGTCTCTATTTTATAAATTGACGACACAGCAGACTCTTTCAATTTGAAATTCATCAGCTTGAAAGAATCTCTATCAAAATGAGCCTGAAATTCATCTTTTTTGTACTGTTTTTACAAGTAAATATGAATATTTACCTCATATAATGCGGATTCCTTGAAATTAATTTTCCATTCTTCTTCTTGCATTCTTCCATGACATCATCTTTAAAGGATCATTCGGAAAATTGAATAACTTGAATCCCTTTCCCAATGAATTATCGCAATAATGTACGCAGCAGGACATTGAGATAATTTGAAATGGTAAATTTTGGCGGTCATAAAATTTCAAAGTGACAGTGACAGAAATTCGAAATAATTAAAAAAAGCGGGCGGGACGACTATGGTGTTTCGTCACATTGTTAGGTGTGCAAACCAAATGAAACGCAATATAAAAACCCCAACGGCTGTCAGTTTTGTGTCCGGACTCTTGTCTAAGGTATATATATACAGGGACTCTAGACTAGATGACCCTCGAGTAGACTGGTGAGAGGTTACTCTCAGAAGTGTAGCATCTTCGCGAAAGGCCATTTCTGATGGGTGCAAAAAATTGGTCGACTGTCGTGTAACAGCCCATCTTATGTTGAAAATGTACATAGATTTTGTTATTTCATCACTGAAATTTGTGTTTTTGGACAGCGACAGCGACTATCATACAACAATCTACAGCTACGTGCGTAGCGTAGTTGCTTGAGGATTTGAGCTACACGCCGGCGACCCCGGTTCAATGCCTGCGACGGACGGTTTTTTTATTCTGTTATCTTATCTGGTTCTCCGAATCTTATTCTCTTCAGAAAGAAGGTTCATTTAGGTCGAGTAAGCTTAGTTTATTTGAAAAATTTAGTCTTCTTTCTCATGCAGAAGTGATATTTTCTTTCCTCCCTGAAAAAAGTACTGTCGTGTTGGAGGCATTTACTGTTGAGGCCGACACAGAATCGCTATTCCACGCTGTTTTCATCAGGAAATCGGAAATAGTTCGTAAATTTTCCTCAGACTTGATTGTTCGTTGGGGTGATCATCAGTGCCCGCGGTGCCACGTTGTAGCGTTCCCCCACCGCGATGGATATTTTTTTCCTCGGTTTTCCTTCCTCAATTGTTTTTTCCGCACATTGTCAGGAAATGAGACTTGTCTGAGACCAATCACCGCGAATTTTCGTTGATTTGGAACAGAGGTGTCGTGCCACAATTCGTTCGAAGGAACAACCCAGCAAATATTGATACATGGGTCATCATTTTTGAAGAAATGTCACCCCAGTGAACTATCGTTGGCTTGACATCGTCATTTTTGAATTATAAATTACAAAAGTTGCTCGTTCGATGTTGGCCCAACGATGACTGATGACCATGCATGAGAATTCAGCGGCATATTCTCACACAGAGAATAATAATAATAATAAAAATGATAATTATTGCAATAAAACTCTCGTATTCACTTATACAGTGTGTCCCACTTACCATGCTCACCATGGGTATCTTTTTAACGGTGGGAGATACGAGGTCGGTTAAATGACACCAAATGTGGAGTTTGTCAAGGGCAACTATTATGTGAAAAAATACTTCGATAAAATCTATTCGTTTTTGTTTTATACGCAAAAAACAGATTCTGATCATTTTCATGTCTCCTCCATAACTTCTTTATTTATGGAAATATTCCAATAGCAATTTCACATTCTTATGGCAGTTTTTCAAAGTGATTCCGAGAAAAATATGAAATTCATACCAACTCTTCTAGAATTTGAGATATCAGCACCAACTTTAGTTTTTCAAATGTAGGTCAAAGCACACTATGACTTAGTTACAAATAACTTTTTTTTCCTCTTACAGATGATATGTCGCAGTAATAGTTGATAACAACGGAGTTATCGTCATTTATACAATAACAAAAAATCATTTGGAAGCCGCCATCTTGAATTTATGAATTATAACAAGAAAATCATGATCTCCGACCTCAAAAACCCCCACTCACCAATTTTGAATGGAATCGGACCAACTCTTGTCCGCCATCTTGGAGCAGCCATTTTTCTTAATTTCAACAAAAATTCCATAACTCCGATTAACTTAATTTGGCAGGTTTTCATAATTTCGGTGACAATACATTATGGAATTTTTGTTGAAATTGAAAAAAATGGCTGCTCCAAGATGGCGGACAAGATTTGGTCCGATTCCATTCAAAATTGGTAAGTGGGGGTTTTTGAGGTCGGAGATCATGATTTTTTTGGTAAAATTTATGAATTCGAGATGGCTGCTTCCAAATAATTTTTTGTTTTTGTATAAATGACGATAACTCCGTTGTTATCAACACAAAACTATTACTGCGACATATCATCTGTGAGAGAAAAAAAAGTTATTTGTAACTAAGTCATAGTGTGCTATGACCTACATTTGAAAAACTAAAGTTGGTGCTGATATCTCAAATTCTAGAAGAGTTGGTATAAATTTCATATTTTTTTGAAATCACTTCGAAAAACTGCCATGAGAATGTGAAATTCCCATTTGAATATTTTCATAAATAAAGAAGTTACAGAGGAGACATGAAAATGATCAAAATATGTTTTTTGCGTATAAAACAAAAACGAATAGATTTTATCAAAATATTTTTTCACATCATAGTTGGCCTTGACAAACTCCACATTTGGTGTCATTTAACCGACTTCGTATCTCTCACCGTTGAAAAGATACCCATGGTGAGCATGGTAAGTGGGACACACTGTATACCCACATTTAATTTGGTTAATCAGGCAAGAGTTCACGAATTTAGTTTCCGTTCTGGTATCTGAAATGAACTATTCAAAAATGTCAAAGTACACAAGACATAAACTACAACTGACTGTTTCCTAGCCTGCTGCAACACTATAGTTAGGTGAGAGTGAGGACTGAAGTCTGAGGAAGGAGGTAGATTGCTTTCAGGACTAAAACATCATATGGCAATAATAGGTATAGTAACATATTATTACGATGGATGGATGAAGAAAAATATCAGTTCATTCAACTAAATTGATTATTTCGATTTGATGAGATTGCATATTGCACTCATACAAATTCCTATCTAGTCACTTGTTCTTTTCACATCTCACATAATAAATGAATGACGACTCATGCGCAAGAGGATTAAAAAAAATGTGAAACCTTTGGAATACATATCAATTGCCCATTGTCGGAAAAATGAATTTCAATAAAATGCATCTGATATGCAGAAGTTATTTTTGTGAAATCATAGCCATTGATATGAAATATACTATAGTACCAGCACAATGCACAATGAAAGTGCAACACTCGTATTATATGATTGAATCAGCAATTCACATGTACTTTTTCATCACCGAAAAATATTGCCAGCAGTAGGTATGTCATCAATCAAATCACTTGACCATTTAATCGACAGCTATCCCGTGTTTGCTGGAAATGTGTATAGACAAATCTTTTAACCACCCGAAATGGGTAACATACAATAGGTGTATCTAAATAACACCGAAAAAATTCAAGGGGTGATTCCTCGTGATATTTTAGCGAATTAAGTTCATATAAACATTTATCAATTGTTTCTATTTATAACCTCTCTGTTTGAGCTTTCAGGGTGCCAAAATTCAGTATGGTTGGAGACTGAGAAAGCCCTAAAATTTCAATATGATTGTGATTGGGGTTCTTCTTCTTCTTCTTCGAAGCACTGGTGGGCGGGTGAACCCTCTGCACGTGGGCCTCCTTATTCGGGCCCATTGTGCGCCCACATGTTACGACATTCAGCTGGGTATGCCGACTGCCTTGGAGAAGTTCAGCAGCTTCCTCAGCTGAATCTCTTTTACGTCCTCTGGCCTCAAAATTATGTTGCCAAGGACAGCCCTTCTCTGATGCGTCAGTGCTGGACACTCAGTGAGGCCATGTGATGACATTTCGTCATCTTCCAGGCACCATCTGCAAAGGGGGTCATCCTTGATCCCAATAAGCTCTAGGTGCTTATTGAGGTGGTTGTGCCCCGTTAGGAGCCCCACTACCATTTTAAGGTTCCGCCTGTTTAGGAATAAAACCTCTTTTGCGAGCCTCTTCGAAGGTTCCTTCATGTAGAGCTTCGATTGTCTCATTCCTGGTGTGTTCTGCCATATTTTGAGGAATTGCTTTTGCAGCTGTTCCTCCATAGAGGACATTGCCAGGCTATTTGGTATTCCCAAGATTGGTTCCGGTCCGACCGAGGTCCGTCCTGAACCGATCTTTGCCAGCCTGTCTGCCTCCTCGTTTCCGGGTATTCCCGAATGTCCCGGGACCCACATGAGGCTGACTGTTCTTGATTTTGCCAGGTTTTCCAAGGCTTTTCTGCACTCTGACACCAAATTGGATGTGATCCTATTGCTTTGTGAAGTCAGTATTGCAGATTTGCTGTCCGAGCATATAGTGATTGGTCTACGACCTCTCATAATTAGGTCTTCTTGGACACAGGTGAGTATTGCAAGTACTTCTGCCTGGAACACTGAAGCATATTCGCCCAAAGGAACTGAAATTTCTTTCCCTGTTCCTTCATTGTATACCCCTGCACCTGAACTGCCCCCAAATTTTGAGCCATCCGTGTACCAGATTGCCTCATTAGGAGGAGGCACGCCAGGTGTTGTGTCATTCCATTCATCCCTCTTAGGGATGACAGTGTTTGGGGCTTTGTTGAAGTTCAGAATTGGCAAGGTATTATCCCTTCTCATCATGAGGATGGGACAGTTTTCCTTTGCCTTATTCCATATGAGGGAGTGTCCATGATCTGCTTCAGTTCCGACCCACTGGGTGATTGGGGTTATTGAGTAATCTCAATGAAAGTCTTTGAAACACCTACAGTAAATTTTGGAGTCAAATCGAATTTTTATTGTTTCCTCGAAAAATAAGCTAGATACTGAGATCACACACAGAATAAAAAAAGTGTTATTTCAATAGTTCAATGTTATAGAAATCTGTGGCGTACAATGACATTCACCATAAATATCGATAAATTTACCCACTGTGACGCCACTGGAGATATTATTTCGAATATGATTGCACCAGAAGAAGCTCCATATCACTATCAACAAAACCACAACGTTTCATTGGAATTGATTGAAAGACAATTGAGTAATGAATAGAAAAACGATTCCTCATGGATATATTGATACCCTGTATTTCTAAAACGAAGCAAGTTGGGACACATGTTTATATAAACTTTATTTCCTAAAATACCACGACAGTAAATATAGTATTTTGCAACTTTTATTATTGGAATGTTTGGTGATTCTGTCTATTCTGATAACTGTACATCCTGTTGAAAAAAATCAAATTATTTGTTTGTCAACAAGCCTTACGATAAACATAATTGATGTTGAAAAGATGAAATACTACTCCACCTATTTGAGAAAATAGATAAATTTCATATCAACAAAATAAACCTAGCCAGTATATTACCAATCATTTTTGTTTACGATCATTACGATGTAATATTGAGTGTGTTATGACTGAATTCATGGGACATTAATGAACACCAACCGATACCTAGTCGTTATATTATGAATAAGTTATTTTTTCATATCGATTCCTCAAAAATATTTCACATATGCGATAAGATTACGCTAACAAGATCGTATCAACATTTTGGAACGGCAATGAGGTGTATACTGAGTGACCAACATTCAAAATTTCCTGATTCCTGTAGAATATTATATTGGAATGATATTATGCTTCCGCCTTCAAGGATCAACTCGAGATTTATTTGCCTATATACCGGGTGACACAGAATCATGGTACACTCAGAGAAATGGTCGGTAGTGAATAACAAACGTTTAGTAAAATAGGCACCAGTCACTATGAAGGGTGGCCCACGGTCGATGGTACCTTAGACGTATACGGAAAACGGTACATTGGATTATCCTGAAAATTTTGGTTACCCTAATAAGCGTTTGTGATCTAACGATTCAAAATATTTTCAGCGAAGCAGCGTTGCTTCTTTTACCAAAAAGTAGCATCATCTTTGCTATTTCAAATAGAACACCCTGTATTCTATTGCGGTTTTAGAACTTTCTCGAAGAGCTGATTTCATCAATGCATCACACTTGGGGTCTAGCAGAAATTATTACAGAGATATAGGGTGTTCAAAATCGAGATTTTTCAACTTTAGGATTTTTTTGTGTCGAAACTATTCATCATTAGTCAAAACGGCTCACATGTCCCTATATTAACTTTTGATTAACTATCCACCGACATTTAATTGGAAAGAAGAATTCTGATCACCCTGTATCTGTTCGAATTAAATGTCAGTAGATAGTGGATCAAAAGTTAAGACAGGGACATGTGAGCCGTTTCGATCTATAATGAATAGTTTCGACACAAAAAATTCCTGAAATTGAAAAATCTCGATTTTGAACACCCTATATCTTCTGTAATAATTTCTGCTAGACCCCAAGTGTGATACATTGATGGAATCAACTCTTCAAGAAGAATCTAAAAACTCAATGAAATACAGGGTGTTCCATTTGAAATAACAAAGATGATGCTACTTTTTGGTAAAAGTGGCAACGCTGCATCGCTGAAAATATTTTGAATCGTTAGATCAGGAACGCTTATTAGAGTAACCGAATTTTCAGGACAATTCAATGTACCGTTTTCCGTATACGTCTAAGGTACCATCGACCGTGGGCCACTATTCATCAAATAATACCACAAACAATTGTATTATACTAAACACTATTTTCTAGAGGTGATATTCGATATAGTATGGTATCATACAATTTTATGGTAGTGTTATCAGATGATTGTAGTTACTAGCGCCTATTTTACTAAACGTTTGCTATTATAATTACCGACTTTCTTTTTCACTGAATACCCCTCTTCTCTCATTGGTTTTTTTTACAGAACTTTCTCGACTCATTCATAAAATATGATCTAGATTCGAATGAACATTTCTTTATTATCACAGTACGTATTTGTCACAAAGAAAGAATTATTTAGTTTGAAACAAGAAAATTCTTTCATTGTAAAGTTAATCTCCCATCATATTTGAACAATTTTGTGAGTAACTTCTGAGATAAAGAAGCGACCTGATTGCCTCAACACTCGCGACGATGGCCGCAGGCTTTCTAGCACTTGGAAACCTCTCATTTCCCGCCTTTCCACACCCTGCGCCATAACGAACCACGCACCTAGTTCCGCTTCACTGACCACCACATCCACTATAAATACCGCTCCCCCACCCACACACCCTCAGTTCTCTCGAAGGAGTAGGCAGATTGAGACCTTAGAGAGAACCAGTGACGAGATCTGAGGAGTAGGCAGATTGAGAGCCCGACGACAAATCACATACCTTCCGTGATTAACTGAGGAGAAGGCAGTTGGGACCTCAGTGGAAAATCACTACCTATATTTCCCTATCGAACATCTACAGATTCTAGAGGCGGTTCAACCCGAACACCTCGTTTTCCAATTTCTGACCGCGGGAATCTATCCTAACACAATATAGAAAAATAGATATAAAGCCTCACTCCGTCAAAAAAAAATGGAGTCAATTCATTGATATTGATATGATAGATAGATTAGCGTTGGTCTATATATAAGAAAAATAAGTTGATTGAACCCTTTTGACACTAGGTCACCTGACCACAATCATTTTCCTTCCGACCTTGATAGCTTATTGTTTCGTTCAAAAGTAAGGAGGGGGGAGGGGAGAAGTCTCTTCACGTCCTCACCACATCTGTTACTGTGACCGAGAATAGTGTTCACTGGGTGCTAAGCTGAACAAATTATAAGTTATTCACTTCATGGACTCATTTTCAGAAACAAAGAACATTTTTTTGGAAACTGATGATGAAACACAACCATCACGTTTCATTCATACTCTTTATTGCCCGAGTTTTATTATGAAATTTTACTGCTGTCGTAGAGACATAATGAAGAAAGGAGGCAACGCAGTAGATGCAGCTATAGCCACCCTCTTTTGCGAAGGGGTGACTTTACCGCAGTCGATGGGACTGGGTGGTGGATTCCTCATGACCATATATAATAGGACCACCAGGGAGGTGCACTCACTGAATGCCAGAGAAACTGCACCTGAAGCTGCCACTGAAGATATGTTCCATGGAGATCCGAATTTGTCGTTGAATGGTGAGTTCACCACATCGCCGTGATCTGAAATATTTTTTTTTTACATTTATTTATTCATTCATTTTGATACACAATATACACAATATATAAGAACCCATTCAGTAACAATAAATTCAGTAATACTTATACAGGGTGGGCCACCAGTAACGCCTCGGTCTCTAGAAGGCTAACCACTTATCTTCTTGGAATTCTTCCTCTCTAGGAAGTTGCATGTCAACATAGGCTACCATTTAAAATTATTTCGAAACATACAGGGTGTCCCCGAAAACCATAAAACATTGAAGTTAAACTTTTTTCTATCGAACACCCTATATATTATTTCATTTTGAGATTCTCCCTGATGAGCTGATTTCAACGACCCATCATACTTAGGGTGTGAAAAATCGAGATTTTCCAAGTTCAAGAATTTTTTGTGTCGAAACTATTCATAATTGGTCAAAACGGCTTACATGCCCCTATCTCAACTTTTGATTAACTATCTACTGATATTTAATTGGGACATATACCGGGTGATCAAGATTCTGAATTCTGCACCACCCTGTATTTGTTTCAATTAAATGTCAGTAGATAGTTGATCAAAAGTTGAGATGGGGACATGTGAGCCGTTTTGACCAATTATGAATGGTTTAGACACAAAAAATTCTTGAACTTGGATAATTTCGATTTCTCACACCCAATATCTCAGTAATTATAACTGCTAGACCCCAAGTATGATGGATTGTTGAAATCAGCTTACCAGGGAGAATCTCGAAACGAAATAATATATAGGGTGTTCGATTGAAAAAAGTTCAACTTCAGTGTTTTATGATTTTTGGGGACATCCTGAATGTTTCAAAATAATTTCAAATGGTAGCCTATGTTGACATGCAACTTCCTAGAGAGGGAGAATTCCAAGAAGATGAGTGGTTAGCCTTCTAGAGACCGAGGCGTTACTGGTGGCCCACCCTGTATACCAGTATAACAGAATATGAGCTAGCTATGGATTGTGTACAATTTGTACAATAATAGCACCTAAGTGACACTTGTGTTGTGCTACAAAGTATTATCAATTATCTAAGTACAGTTGTGTACAGAGAGTTAGGAAACAAATGTGATAGAGTGTACCTATTGACTTTCTAATATTTTGATAAATTCAAAGTAATTATCGAAAATAAATTTTCTTGATTCCCTCGAGAAGACTTTGTGATTTTTGATATGTTTTATCGTAAGTGGTAGAATATTACAAACTTTAGGCAATATAATAATAATACTTTTATTATCCACCTAACCCCGCACAAGTTTCGACTTCTGGGGAGTTGGTTCCCAACTTTGAAGTAGCGGTATACAAAAATACAAATAATGGGTTAGGTCACAGGTCAGGTTTTATGCAGAGTCTCAGATGAAATTAACAACTGGCAAGTTCCATTTTACAATCGACCAGACCATTCAAGGTCACGATTTGCAAGATCTCAAGTAAGGAAGAATCAATTTCAAATCATTGAATCCCAACTTATTATCACATAGTAAAACTTGGACCTGCATCTCATTCGATATCACAACTTGTAATGATATTTTCAATACATCTGACTGGGAACCTGTTTGATAAAAATAAATTTCACAGAGACTTCTGGACTTTCCAATTCCAACTAAATTTCCCAACTAGCTGCTCGTAATTGAGAACGAATTCGATTTTTTCAAAATCAATCATTTTTTATTTTGCATCGCTAAACATTTCTGATGTTTTCATTGTTCGAATTCCTTCTCAATGATGTACTTAGTAGATTTCAGAAGGTAGTGGCTTTGTAAAAAAATGAGGAAACGCAGGTTTTTGATCCATCTGTTTGGAAGAGAAAATGTTGTCATATCTTATAACTATTGTTTTAACATAATGAATAAATCCACTTTCTTCGCAGTTCCTCATCTTCAGGAAATGTAAAAATCGAAACCTGGGTACTTCTTTCCGAAGCGTAATCTGACTTACACCCTGTCACACAACAATGATAAGGCATCTTGTTATAAGAAACGAAAGTTTCGCCTTCGCTTCCATGAATGTGATGAAAACATTAAACATAACCTCAATTCAAAAATTATTCCTGAAGGACTTTCACACATACACAAATAACCTTCCACTTATAACGCGATCACTAGAATTTTTCTTAACTTTTCACTGAGGTCAACAATATTTCACATTGATAACACAATATCAATTCATTCTTGAAAACCAAAAATTCATAGGCCGTATAATGGTTGTGCACATAAACGGCTAAGAGACCTTTCAGATTCAGACAGTGTTGCCTATATACTGCTCACCAAGGCTTCAGATGATATCTTATCTATTTCAATCAAGGAAGGCCACAATGAAGGTCAAGAGGAGCAAAGTGATCGTTTAGTACGCATGGTTTCGAAGGCTGTCCCATTTTCGACGTCCTTAGGAGAAATCTCACTCATTTCTGAAGATACAGATTCACGGTTTTTTTCTCCATAACTCTCTTTGTTCACGAAATACAGAGCAAACTTGAAATTATTCGAAGCAAAAACAAGTTATTGATATTTTAACAGGGACAGGAACAAGATTTTGGGGTGCGACGGAATTAGTGTTGCGTAGTTTATATAAATGAATATTCTTTTTTCTGTGACGGGAAAAAAGTTTGGCATTTCATCTCTGTTGGCAGGTTATAAAATGTCACTTTCCAAAAATTACTTTTTTCCCGTGGGAAAAAAGTGAGTGCTTTTTTCCCGGATATATATCACATATATATACTCTGTTGATGGCTTTCGTTGTGCTATAGTTCCGAAAAATGAGTTAATAATACCGTCTCCGAGAAAGAACTGCAAGTCCTTTTATCTTCCATTCGACTTCGCGGTTTCGTATATTACTAAACAACTAATGAATTCGCAATTTTTTAAAATCAAATCACAGAATTGAACTGACAGAAGTGACATCAGATATTTGATTACTTCAAAAGAATGATAAAGATGCTTATAAAACGCAGGTGTCCCTACTTTTAAAAACTTGTAATTTCACGTCGATAATTTTCAGATTTCGAAATAATGTAATATCTTCTCAATATTGATTCGTCCTTCCCTCTGTCACAGAAAAAAATAATGTATTATACACGGGAAAAATATTAGATTTTAGCTCACGGTTTTTTGTCTCAACCTCAACACAACCTGGAGCTAAAATCTACTACTTTTTTCCCTTGTATAATAAATAACTATTTCAGTTCTCTTGACTACTGTTTTTTTTGGCAGTACCGAATAAAAAATATAGGTATGTGAAATAATTCTCGGCCCAAAGTCAATGTTCTGACGTAATCGACATAATCATAAGAAGTTCTTGCATACAGGGTGCCCGGAAAGGTCATGTCGTGAAACATAGCTATGACATATTTTGATATTGAATTCAACCATGACTGAACTGAAATTTCCAGGTGGTCTATCTGTGGCGATACCAGGAGAGCTAGCAGGTTATTGGAGTGCATACCAAAAATATGGAGGAGGGGTAGCTTGGAAGGAACTGGTACAACCGTCTATAGACTTATGCAAGCAAGGAATTTATGTTACCAAATATATGGCCAAAGTACTGAAAGATATCGAAGACGATTTGTACGCTGATCCAGTATTGAGGTTAGGCAACTTTTGCTCAGATCAAACTATCAAACAAAAGTGAACAAGACACGTAGTGTAAATTATCTAAAACTATCGAGTGATTCATTCATGTGTAAAAACTTCACAAACGATCAGATTTCCACAATATTCTCAAACACACAACATGTTTTGCTAACACAGTAGCTTCGTCAGGTGATATACTGGTATAATGGACTAAACCAACCTTGGCAGTGCTTAGCTTTTATATATCCTACTTTCCCAACTTGAAGGATTTGTTACCTGTGAACAGGTTCGATAAATACATACTATTAGCTACTAAGAAAAAAAATTCAACAGTGGTGAACTAATGAGGTCTTTAATTGATCGATAAGTAAAATGTCAAAATGATTGAGTTCCATTTCTTTATTTTCCACGTGAAGAATTTCGAAATTATCGTCAGAACTATGGTTTTCTTTCAATATATGGTTGGTGTATGTTGAATTTGTTTCCTTTTTCGAAATATTCATCTTATGTTCATGAATGCGCTGATTGAACATACGACCTGTCTGACCCATATATACCTCAGGACAAGATCCACAGTTGAGATTGTATACCCCTGATTCTTCGAATTTAGAAGTTTTTTCTCTAATATGTTCTCGATAAATCTTCCCAACGTGCTATTTGCTTTATATGCTACTGTTTATATGTAGAAATGAAGCTAATTTTTTCGTTGATAATCCGAAATAGGTTAAAGTTCTATTATTCTTGATGGTAGGATGGTGGGTTGAACTTCTTGGAAAGAATTTCAGGAAGAATTGTTTCCTTTTTCTTTCTGAAAATTCTTATAGTAAAGCTATTCAAGAAGTTTATCCTACCATCTTAAAGGTAGCATATAGAACAAATAACTCGTTGGGAAGGCTTATCAAAAATAATAATGATATTATTGATAATAATAATAATACATTTATTGTTCATCATATTGTGGATATACATCATATAGATATTGCAAATATACATTTCGATAAACAATTGGCATGTAGGTTCAGAATGTGGAACGCATCCACTTCTGTTCTTCCACCAATGCCATTCGGATGAAGGATAAAAATGAAATCAGTTGGCAAGTATATCATTGGTATATAAAAGGAGGAAAACGAAAGCAGAAAAGAACAAAGAAGAGAGAAGAAGATGGAGGAAAGAGGAAGAAGAGAAATAAGAGTAACTTTCGGCTATTGAGTGTCCAGAAGAATACTTTTATATTTGATCTTGAATGAGGTTTGTGATCTATTGAGGAGAAAGGACATAAAGACAAAACTTCTGAATTCGAAGAATCAGGGGTATTCAAACTCAGCTGTGGATCGTATCCTACATGTTTCTGGCTTATATAAGCCCATCAGCAGCCAATAGAAGTATCTGTCTTTTTTTATCGCACGGGATATTTGTATCGGACCTCTTTGTCGCGCGCACATTGCCGACATTCTGGACATACTTTTTGCAGGCATTGTGTTCGCAATGAAAAAGCGTAGTAGGTGGAAATAACTAGGATCAAAATAACTGTTTGTACCTAGCAACCCAATGGTGAGGCTGAAAAAAATACGTTTGTTTATTCTATTGGTTTTGTCCTTAAAAAAGTGATTTTCGCATTATTAATCAATTATAGCCTGGTCAGGATTTTTTCAGGCCACCCATCATTTCATGATTTCAAAATTACTTTTAAAATAACTTTTATCCACTGACCATATGGGTGAGGTTCGATATCACTTCGGATCCTCTACTAAAAGCAATAACGAGTAGGTATGCCTTCCTTGAGCGGAAATTAGAGTCTTCAAGCGCCGTGGCATTGAATAGATCCAAATATTCAAGTAGTCTTGAGGAATCACCTCAAATCGAATCGAAACTATTGAAGACTCTCTGGTATGGCCGGACGAAGACGGATGCTTCTCTGGAGTGTAACTCAAAGATGCTGCATAAAAATTTGAAAATTCCATACTTTCTTACATTTGCATCCTGTTTCGAGAATACGATGTTGACGTGAATCAGAAACCCTTGTGTTGAGAAGGGATCACACTTCAATTCAGAAAATAAGCACTCGCTTTTGTTACAGACAGTTAAGAAGTTAACAGTAAAAGCAGAGTTACTTCCTATTTTTCCTCGTATAATGCTTAAGCCATCAGCTTTCCTTGAGAACTGAAATTCAGACTGACATTCCGGAAAACGAACTTGCATGCGATTTGGTCGAAATTGACCAGAATCGAATAAGGATTAAAAAAGTTTCATATTTTCTGGCAGTATTTTTGTGCTGGTGATTTTAATCATCAATGACCAGCATCAATTGATTTGAATATTTTAGGCAAGACTTCCTTGATCCCTCTACTAATGAAACATACCTCGAAGGCGACTATTTTACCAGACCAACATTAGCTAAAACCTTGGAAATTATATCTGAAGAAGGTGGATATGCTATTAATAATGGCTCACTTACTGCAAATTTGGTAAAAGATATCAGGGACAATAATGGTATTATAACTGTTGAAGATATGAGAAATTACAGGTAATTTTCAAAACATGAGATAATTTATTTTCTATGGAACCTCATTTAGAATTCATTATGTTCTTCACAAGAAATTCCTATGTTATATCTGATTTGTTTGTTTTGATATAGGCCGGTTTGGCAAACTTCAATTCGAGCAACTCTAGCTGGAAACAACACACTTTATTCGGCTCCACTACCAGGATCTGGTATTATCCTAGCTTTCATTCTGAACATACTAGACGGTATCCTGGACACAACGAACCATTTCAGCATTACCAATTATCAGAGGATTATAGAAAGTTTTAAATTTGCGTATGCTAAGAGAACAGAACTTGGAGATGTAAATGATTCACTAGAAATCAACCAGGTGAGTAGAATAACCAATGATGATCATCAACCTGGAATTGATCTGATTTTCTCGGTTTTTGAAAATTTGAATGAAATATTTCTAGACAGATTTTTGGACGTGATTCCGCCCAGTATGCCTTCAAGAGGGTATCTATATGTACAGGGTGTCCCACTTACCATGCTCACCATGGGTATCTTTTAAACGGTGAGAGATACGAGGTCGGTTAAATGACACCAAATGTGGAGTTTGTCAAGGCCAACTATAATGTGGAAACATATTCTGATAAAATCTATTCGATTTTGTTTTATACGCAAAAAACAGATTTTGATCATTTTCATGTCTCCTCCGTAACTTCTTTATTTATGAAAATATTCAAATAGGAATTTCACATTCTCATGGCAGTTTTTCAGAGTGATTTCGAAAAGAATATGAAATTCATACCAACTCTTCTAGAATTTGAGATATCAGCACCAACTTTAGTTTTTCAAATGTAAGTCATAGCTCACTATGACTTAGTCACAAATAACTTTTTTTTCTCTTTCAGATGATATGTCGCAGTAATAGTTTTGTGTTGATAACAACGGAGTTATCGTCATTTATACAAGAACAAAAAATTATTTGGAAGCCGCCATCTTGAATTTATAAATTTCAACGAAAAAATCATGATCTCCGACCTCAAAAACTTCCACTTACCAATTTAGAATGGAATCGGACCAAATCTCGTCCGCCATCTTGGAGCAGCCATTTTTTTTAAATTCAACAAAAATTCCATAATGTATTGTCACCAAATTTATGAACACCTGCCAAATTTCAAGTGAATCGGAGTTATGGAATTTTTGTAGAAATTAAAAAAAATGGCTGCTCCAAGATGGCGGACAAGATTTGGTCCGATTCCATTCTAAATTGGTAAGTGGAAGTTTTTGAGGTCGAAGATCATGATTTTTTTGTTGAAATTCATAAATTCAAGATGGCGGCTCCCAAATAATTTTTTGTTCTTGTATAAATGACGATAACTCCATTTTTATCAACACAAAACTATTACTGCGACATATCATCTGAAAGAGAAAAAGAAGTTATTTGTAACTAAGTCATAGTGAGCTATGACCTACATTTGAAAAACTAAAGTTGGTGCTGATATCTCAAATTCTAGAAGAGTTGGTATGAATTTCATATTCTTCTCGAAATCACTTTGAAAAACTGCCATGAGAATGTGAAATTCCTATTTGAATATTTTCATAAATGAAGAAGTTACGGAGGAGACATGAGAATGATCAAAATCTGTTTTTGCGTATAAAACAAAAACGAATAGATTTTATCAAAATATTTTTTCACATTGAAGTTGGCCCTGACAAACTCCACATTTGGTGTCATTTAACCGACCTCGTATCTCTCACCGTTTGAAAGATACCCATGGTGAGCATGCTAAGTGGGACACACTGTATATATTTTGATGTGTGTAAAAGGTAAATGAAAGAGTCTTCCCGGGTTTTCCATACATCAAAGCATGTCTTCAAGGTTTGGGTATACTTGGATATGAGCAAACGGTAGTTTGTAGTACAAACATGTATACTCCTCAACTAGAAAAAAGGTCACTTGAGGTGGAATGCAATCACAAAAATGAAAAGCTCAAAGTCATTACCACTATAGGACAGATTCTTACAGTCTACTACACCAAAGCAATACTGTATTGTAAGCAATCTCACAGGGACTTGTTTCGAAGCTTTAAAGTTGAATGGGGACAACTCTTTGAATTTTTTCTAGAACATTTTTCAATAATATAAATATGTAAACATAACTTTTTTCCTCCAGAACAGGTGAGTTTTTTAGACCTATCGTTGTTGAGGGGTTTGTCTGACATTGTTCTTTGTTTTTCTCTCACTTTAGTGCTCCTATGTAACAATAACGCTGATGATGAAGCTTTAAAGCTTCGAAACATGTCCCTGTAAGATTGCTTACAATGAAGTATTGCTTTGGTTGAGCAGACTGTAAGAATTTTGTCCTGTCCTATTACCTTCACTCCACTGTAAGATGGATCGCCTCAGATGGTTCATTACCACTATAATTCATAAAATGAACGAAAATGGTAGATAACGAGAGAAAAAAAATACTCTCCTGGCTATATGCCAATTTTACATCCTCCCGAAATCTATGCGATAATTCATATGAACGAATATATCAATGACCCAAGAAGGACGTACTCACATCTATGCGAATGATACCACAATTGTTGCTACTGCTAACAATAGGATAGAATTGAATAACAATATCAAGATTGTCACAGAAGGTTCCAATTGTTGATGTAGAGCGAACCATCTCATGAATAAAATAAATAAGACAGTGCTGATAGAATTCATCACTAGCAATCTCAATTCAACAGAAAATCAATTTTTTTTTATTTGTGACACAAAGATCTCAGCATCACAACAAACAAAATTTCTAGGCTTGAGTGTAGACCATAAACTACCTTTTAACAGTCGAGTTGGCACTATCTGTAAAAAACTGAACAAGTTGAATCATGCTTTCAACACCTTGAAGCCAAACTTCCATAGAGATCATTTGATAAACATGTACTATGCTCTAGTATATAGTATATTCTATATTAAGCAATTAGATAATTGTATATGGGGCAGGGCCACAGAAGCTTCTAGGGTATTCATCTAGCAAAAGAGATTCATAAGGCTTTTGTTCGACCTAGACCATAGAGAGTCATTTGAATACACATTTATTCACTTCAATCAACCTATACAGATTATTGCTATACACGCACAATAATGTGGATTAGCTAAACAGAAACAGCGAATTTCATGAAGACCCTACAATAAGACGTGCCGATTTTTTCGATTTTCTTCAACATGCAACCTCCAAACCTGAAATTAGTGCAGGATACCAACATTGTCGAAGTGCATTTGAAAAAATATCTATCACACCATGCTTGACTTGACGAATTTGTCCAATTGAATAATTAATAATGTCATATTTCTTATACTGCATAATCTCCATATATTCATGTATACACATTTCTTGTTAGTCCTAGTCCAGAATTATATTTACATTTTTCACTTCTTCCAATATTATATTACCCTTTATTACTTACAACTATAAGGAGCTGTCTCATGTTATGTGAAATCTACATAAGACATACTGGGTGAAATCACAAATCAAAGTCAGAAATCTATCACTACCTGCCGGTCTATTTGTTGCATCGTTGAAAAATATGAAGTACTGTTGAGCTCATATAAAAGCGAAACCTATCTGTTATTCCTGGCGATCAAATCGGGAGGAGCAAGAAGTTGATGAATATGAATCCAACTCTGAACGTCTCCTCTTGATTTCGCAAGGAATGCATTGGAATTTTTCGACCATGTCTTCTCCAGTGCCTACTAAGCACTAATTATTTTCAGCTGATCGCTAATTTGACTTCGAGAGCTTATGCTGAAGGAATCAGGAGCAGAATATCCGATAACAGCACTTCGCAAGATGGATCCTACTACGGTGCCACAAAATCACTAACAGAAGACCATGGTACCGCACATATTTCTGTTCTTGCCCCTAATGGAGATGCTGTCTCGGTAACAAGTACAATCAATTATATGTAAGCTGACTCTTCAAATGCCTTTCGTATTTTTTGCCATTGACTGAAGTTAACTATTCAATGGAGTTTTACACGCTAGTCGAATAAACGCCACATAACTATTTTATTCTGATTTTGAGTAGAAATAGAATTTGATGCAATCATTTGTTATTTGAAATCTTCACGAATACTTTTTTCAATAATAATTGATATCGGCACCTTATAAAAACGCCAGTTGCCGATGATGTCATACACTGTCTCACTTGGAAATAGGTGCCAAATTTGAAACAACTAATCACCTTATGAGATACAATGTGACCAATGGTATCAGTTTCTATATTCATAGAATAAAATAATGGCTCAACCTGGTCAACAATACTCACTCATTAAATGGTTATATATCTCTCAAGATACTTCAATGCCAAGAAAAATATTCTGATATTCCTAATAATGATCGGAATCCCATTCAAGCCTAAACTATTTTGTTACACAGAAAAATCAAGAAAAAGAAAGAATTAAAACCTATTTTCCTAACTTCGTCCTCAGTCATCTTCATCTTCAAAACCTATCATCTAACCGAATCCAAGGTCAACTCTATCAAATACTGCGAATACTCAAAAGATCTCTTCATCTAATCCTTGAGTTGTGTGTTGCGATCTCTGTTATTTGCAGTAAGTATCCAGTCCAGGAAATTCCTCTAATATTTCAATAAAAATGACAATATGAAATATTCTTGCACTTTTTTTGTAAATAATAATAACATTAATTGATCCCAAGAAACATACAATATTTATAGAGGGAAACAAGAAAAAATAAATGAATCAAATATGCAATACAATGAAAGATCAATAGTTCAATCAAAATTCATGGATACAAAGAGAGAGTTGAATAATTGATAAAATATGTTTCTTCAGTTCACACGTAGATTCTGAGATAAACCTGATAGATTTTATTCTGTTGGGTGGACCATTAGGAATATTTATTCCACAAAAATGCAATGACTTTTCCAGAACCTGGTTTTTATTTTGACAGTTTTCAAATGTTCACTTTGTCTGGTGTGATGCTCATGGTTATCAGAATTGATAATAAAAGTATGATTTGAGTGCTTTCTCTTATGTTTAGTGAAATGAATGAAAATGCATACTTTCATTTTGAAGAGAGATTCAATATCTAACAGATCCCTTGGTTTGTATGGTCTAGATATTGATTCCAGAAATTGTAGTTTATAAATACATTTTATGGCTTTATTTTGAAGAGATTTCAGAGGTTTCAAGACAGATTTTGCTGCAGTACCTCAGATCGATATCAGATACTGCAATTTAGGGTGAATCAAACTGAAATAAATTAGCTTCAAGTATTCAAGAGGTATAATATACCAATAATGGGAGATTTTTGAAGGATTTATCCAAGAATTCCCGAAAACATCTATTTGGTTATCAGGTATAACTCTTTTCGAGATGAACATGAAAGACGATTCATCGAAATTGAGTGTCAATTAATGATCTTGTAACCATAATGTAATCGAAGCGAGATCTTGTTTCATTTGGTTTTTTATTTCTTGTATATTTTTGATAGTTATGTCATCGGCGAATAATTTCAAATTACCTCGTAATTTCAAACTTGAGTCAGAATTTATGTAAATCAGAAATGAAATAGGCCCAAGATTTGATTCCTGGGGCACACCACAAGATATGTTTCCTATTGAACAAATATAGAGAATGGATGTTGTGAAATATCGTGTATTCGAATAATTTTGTGAGAAATTCACAGAGCTCTGAAAAAAAAACATTTATGTCAGTGGAAGTTCCACTTAAACAGGCCAATTGCAACCTCGAACCTTAACAGTGTTTTTTAGCTATTTCTCTTCGCAATTTACCCACAACTGGTAATGTGACGAGCTGATTTTTTCTTTTAGTTTTGGTGCGAAATTCGCATCTAATAGCACCGGCATCATTTTGAATGACCAGATGGACGACTTCTCCTCCCCAAATATAACTAATGTATATGGAGTACCTCCCTCACCTTCCAACTACATAAGGCCTGGCAGGAGACCGATGTCCTCCATGACCCCTTCGATTGTCGTCGACGGAAATGGTGATGTTTTGATGGTAGTGGGGGCTGCAGGAGGAACTAAGATCACCACTAGTACAGCACAGGTGAACGACTTTATGGTCCGTATTTATAGTCGCTCCTTTAAGGTGACCTCGTCCCTTGAGGGATCCTTGAGGACCAGTTTCCAATTCATAGTCGTAATATGAGCTCGAAGGAATAAACTTCAAGGAAATGTCAATTCCAAAGAAGGTGAAGAGGTACCTTGAGCATTCCTTGATCCAATTTCTTGTATTATTTTAGGTTATGTTAGGAATTCCATGATTGGAATTTCTTGTATTATTTCAGGTTATGTTAGGAATTCCATGAATGGAATGATGAAATTGAATGTAGTAATCAAATGAATATTCAAGTCTTGAAATTTGTACAGAGAATCTGTTTCGAGTATATCGATTTCCAGTAGAAGCTGATTCAAGTTTAGTTGAAAAGTGAATCTTTTTTAATGTAAAGTAAAATAAACATTCTCAATGAACAACCACACAAAATCACAGATTCACTCAAAGTATTCAATCAAATGCATAATTTTCCTCTCCCTGGCATATTATTCCATTGCAGCTTGAAAGAATCCGTTTTCAATAGAGTAAAATTTATGTATTGTAATTTCACAACATCGTCATCGATAATCTCTTCGACCCTTTTTTCATATTAGCCAAAATGAATTTTGTAATTTCTACGTCATTATGGTGTTGATTCTGAAGCCACAGACCAAATTCAACCCCCATAGGTCACCCCGTCGATGCTTACTCGCACAAGTCGCTTGAAGACTTCTGAGGGTTGCTCGTAACGGAGCAACCGGATGACGGATAAGAACAACAACAATTTTTTGTGATTGTCTCTCATTATTTACTGTGACTCACATCGATTTTTTCTGCTATGGGCCTAGAACTCAATATTGATTCTTCATCAGCCTATCCCATAATTGTCTGCCAGCACTTTTAGGTGATACAAGCCTTCCCACATGTCCTCCTCTTTATTCCTCCAAATAACATGTGTACAAACGACATGCTGCAGCTGCACTTCGGAGACACTCGCCATGAATCAAAAGCATATCAACAAGTTGATTAATTTCGTAAACGTGTTACATTGTTTGACAATGCACAGAAAAAACAATTGGAAGAGCGGATCTGATGACTAGCGCAAGACAAAGAAAATTCTACTGTGGCTGTTAGTAGAAGTATAAGGTGGGATATTCGGGTAAACGCTGAACAGAGTTTCGTATGGCCAGGACCGTGATGATAAATTCATGAAATGTTCAATTGATAATATTTTCGTAGTTATGCAAGTCTCATAGAGATGATATTTATTTATCTCAATGAATTCTACTTCCTCTTCACAAAGCTTGAACAGCAATGTAATTTGATGATTGGGATTGGAGATGATTTGGAGTTTTCCAACTTATTCAGGGTTCCAGTGGCTTTTCATTTCAGCTTCAACACTTGTGTCTTGCTTCAGTTTGGAGAATACATGTACCAATGGGTACCCCTTTGGAAGAGTCAGTCTCGATAGGTTACTCTGGTGATGGATTTCTCCTAGCTCATATAAAAGTTGGGATCAAACTCATTCAACATCTGCTCGGAAATTATAATATAATTAAGAAGTCATGACATTCGTTTCAGGTGATAATAAAACATCTTTGGTTTGGAATCAACTTGAAAGAGTCATCAGAATCGAAACGGTTTCACCATCAACTGTTCCCTATGAAGGTGGATCTTGAAGACGAATTCAGGACACAGGTAACTGAGTTTCATCTTGTATCAAACCATAATAATGATAGTTTGTAGATATATTAAGTACTTATGATATATACGAATCCTTCATTGAGTCAATGAAAAATCTAATATGTAAAATACAAAAATAGAGAACAAATCGCGTCATATATACAGTTTTTATAAATGATTTCTGTTTTCACTTTCATCTTTGATCAAAAATCAGATCTCTGGTCTATTTTGATCTTCTTTGATATACCTCTTGAGTCCTATTATTCCTATTGAAGAAGATTAATGTAATGATTATGTTTTTTATTATTCAAGGACACATATGTAGCTGAAGGCTTGGCTGCAATTGGTCACAATGTTTCGTTCTCACCAAGTGGAAGTGGTTTTGCAGCTGTCACGTGTATTTCTACCAATAAAGGCCAATCAATCGTTGGCTATGCTGATAAAAGAAGAACAGGATCTGCCACATATTTCAATTGAAATTTCACAATTCGTTATCGATGATGGACAAAATATTTTTGTGATAGTTGAACAAGATTGGTGATCTGATCTGAAAGAGAAAGATATTGACTTGATTGGTCATTTCAAGAATGAATGCTAATATCAAGAAATGTTTTATTCATTTCATTGATTTTTGCAATCAGTAGAGGTTTCTGAGATGTGTGATTGTTTCAAATTTTATATTCGAAATTATGAATAGAATACTAATTTGAAAATTGAGATAACATACAACTTTCAAGCAACTCGAACCTGGAATGAAATAGTTTGATGCTGATTGAAGTCATCTTAACAACAATTCGGTGAGTGTCAGATTTCGAACACATAGATGTGCTCATCATCAGTCGAAACTTCAAAGAATTGTCCGATGAAGATAGACTTAATGATGAAACGGACTCAGGGCAAAAAATGGTTTCTTCATAAACAAGTGATAGATATTTCGCGTTCAGGAGCATGTACAATTTTGAATTGTTTCACTATACTTGTCTGGCAAGAATAATTATTCACCTATTACTGATAAGCGTCATTGCCCAACCCACTTGAGTATGACACACGTGTGGCAAAAAATAATACCTTCGGTCGGGACGAGAAATGCCCATGCACACAGTTTGTCTATAGGGAAAATTATTCTTGACAGACGTGTAACATATGTATACAGAATGTTCCACAGGTAAAGGGAAATATTTCAATGGTAAATAGGTGTCGCCAAGGCGATTCTGAGAATACCATGTTTGATAAGTCTTACAGTCTTTATAACGGAGATGAAGGGTGATTCATCGATATCGAATAATTATTCATTGGTCCATAAGTATCAAACTACCCAGTATATTTTCCTTAGATTTGGTATGGAGTTTCAACTTGGGATGTTTAATTCATTCATTGACCTATCGGGCAGAATGGGAATCTAGGTTGAAATATAAAAAATACATTCTGTATTTGATAATTAACAAATTATCAAAAGAATCGTGAAGAGGAGAGCAAACTAAATTGGATTCGATACTTTTTTTCCGCCACCAATTCTCATCGTAACACTGATAAACAGTGAATTGAAAATACTGTCTGTAGGTTAATCGAGGAGGTGGTACATTCATTTCACTTGATTTTTTGGGATTTTCTCTACTCGTTTCTATAAAAGGAAAGTATGCGTATATATTATTTCAATATATATTCGTAGTGGAACAAATCAGATGATTTGCCCCAAAATGTCACTGCGTTTAACAAATTTTTCTATCAGGGAGCCTAAAAGAAAAACCCAGTAGCTTGTCAGTAAGTTAGTAACACTTTCTCAGAAATTTTCCCGCTTGTGTATATTTGTTATTTATAGTTTTGTAAAGTATTTTTAATATCATCCTGGTGTCCAGGAGGAGATACTATTAGAATTTATTAAATATGTTGAATTGATTAATGTCTTTCCATCACACCACATTCGATACTGCATGTCAGAATACATATCTTGTTCAATTACTGTGCAGCATGACCATTGAACAGTAATATGCAAATGATGTGAATCATACGAGAGGGAAAGCATTCCAAGCGAGTTGTACACTATACTTTTTCTAGGGCTTCAACATAATAATATGATAGCCAAATGATTGATCAATGGAGAACATGGAAAAAATACGTTACTTCTGTGACGAAGAAGAAGTAAGTCAGTTCAACTCTGCTGACAGATTACAAAGTGTCACTTTTTATGAATTACCTCTTTCTCACGGAGTAGGGTGAATAACTGAACAGCCACTGAGTTCGGAATTGTTTCGAATCAAAATACAGAATTAGACTGACTGATATTTGATTACTGCAAGAGAATGATGAACATGCCTGCAAAAAGATGCCTGCAAGGCAGTTGTAATTCCTGTTAAAAACTTCAAATTTCTCGACGATAATATTCTGATTTCAATATAATGTGATATCTTCCCAATAATGATTCTTATTCTTCCTCCTTCACAGAAGAAAGTTGTCGATTCACGACGGGAAAAATATTAGATTTTACCTTACCGTTTCTTGTCTGTCTCCGCTACGCGTCGGAAGACAACACGTCCTTGAGCTAAAATCCATAACTTTTTTCTGGTATAAAAAATAACTATAATTTGTGAGTATGATGTCAGTAATCTAAGTAACGGTGGTGAAAAGAGTATACATGGATTGATGAATACAAGTGACTAAAGAATTGATGGAGAAGCTGCAGTATTCAACAACAAATAGCACGGTGTCAATCTTCCATTCAGCAGAAAAGAGTATATCAACATCTTTTATTCATTTTGTCGATATTTTACTCGTTGTGGAGGATGCTCCTCATGCTCCTTGATGTGCGGCAAGTTTATCATGGTATAGGTATGTACCTACGTTGTAGATACTAACGATCCACTGTTGCTGATGGATAATATGAAAAATGTGAATGAGAATGATGATTAATTATTGTTGATTATATACATTCAATATGTATTTTCACCTCTTGGAGTGCACGAAAGGAAATTCCTAGGTAGGCGTTGGCTCTTTTGGAGGTTTTGAGTTCTTGGAAATACTTTGATTGGCAAAGATGTCCAAAACCTTGTCGTTCTGAAGGCGAACGAGTTTTGGTAGCGTGTTGTTCAACATATTCCAAGTTTAACGACAAGAGTATGTGCTGACTGGGCCTGTCGAGTTCGTCTGACTAGTATTGCTAGTGATGAAATCATTGAAGATATTTCTGAGGAATTCTTTCTGTGGAAGTATCAATATAAAACAGTGAAAAGTTGCCGACTTTTCTACGGTGTTTTCCTACGAGAACTTGTCGGTTACGACCGATTTCACCTAGTGTAACTCAAGTTATACCTATAGTGTATCTCAAGGTACATCAATATATAGCCCAAGTTGCAGAAAGGTGGTGTTATACTTCATAGAATTTATATCGCGAATATTTTTTGAATGGCAAAAAATTGCGGATAGTCGTGAAAGCAGAACGAATGGATTCAATAATTTTGGCCGAAAAAACAGAAACATTCTTGTCGCTTAGTCGAAACCAAATTAATCGTGGTACGAATTTTTGTCGCTTGAACCCTTCGCACCATTGAATAGGCACGATTTTGAGTAATCATCCGCCATTTTCTTCTTCTTTTTCTTTGGAGGTGGTCGAAATCCTTCATGGACAACACGAAGGGCAATCCCCTTCATGATAGTGTGGGACTCCGTACATGTATAGGTGTACCCACTTAACACTCCACCTGCTTTCAAGGCTCGTCTGATCGGAGTTTCCGATGACACTTAGGCCTGTTGGCCCATTGTACCATTGTACTTCAAATATGCCGTATTGATTCAACCATATACGACCCATAGTTCTTATATAAGGGCGACTTCAAATGCTGCCACAGTAACTGTGAGCACTGCTGCATTTGATACCCACCCATATTGCAGAAGTGCATAAATGATAACCATTCCGACATCTTGAATGGTCCACCATATTGGAATTAGAATGACGTCACATTATTCCTCAAGTTGCACTAAACGAGCCTTTTCATTTGATACCTATATTGTAGAAGTATAGATCAGAAATAACTATTTCGTCATCTTGGATAGTACGCCATATTTGATTTAGAATGACGTCACGCTATTTTTCGAGTCGAGTGGTACTCGACGAGCCCTTTCATTTTATACCGATATTGTAGAAGTGCATTAAACATAACTATTCCGCCATCTTGGATGGTACCTACCTCTTATTGGATTTAGTATAACGTAACCCACCATATCGTGCATTGTCATCCAAAATGAACGTGTTTAGAAAATGGCAGCTAAATCAGTTGAAGATATCTGATTCAAAATTGAGTTCAACGATTCCACCCGAATAAACATACATACATACATACATTGCAAGGTAAATAAAAGTTTTTTTCTGCAATCGGCTCAAAATTCGTCCATTTTTCATTCAAATAAATTACCTTCTGAGGTTGACGTTCCTCTTACTGATACTATTAAATGATAAGCATATTGCTAGGCAACACTCTTAGCACAGAAGGAGCTTAACCTGAAGTTTGATTCCTTGGAACTCGAAATAGTGGTGTTCTCACTTATATTTTATTATTCAGATATCAATCACATCGATTGCAGAAAAAACAGCATGTTTCATTCGGATCAAACACACGCAGAAACCGAAGAATGTATGATAAATAATTTTAGTGCCAGACAAGTTTTGCGGTTTTGATAACGCTTATTCCTATGGTTTTACTTTGACGTATATACGAGTACAACTCAATGACGTATGCACGAAGAAGGATTGGTGATCGGTTTTCCTAATGTTATATGTTTAAATTGGATAATCTGAAACCGGTACCTGTTATAAATTATACATAATGCAGTTCATACAGGGACCAGTTATTATATTTTATCGCTCTTTGGTTATTCCCACGATGATTTGGGTTATTGACTCTCGTGCCAAAAATACATTCTAGATTGAATTCCGAGGATGTGTATCTTCAATATGATGGAGAAAAGTTAATAGTAAAATCATGTATAAATATGAAGATCTCGAAAATGCTCGAAAATCACTGAATCATTGAAATATTTCAAATGGATTCGATGGATTTTTTGTGTGAAAAAAGTTCCATTTGAAGGAATATTTCCTCTGATTATTCCATGAAGAGGACAAAAATAATACCAACACTAATCAACTAACAAAACACAAAACTCAGTTATTCGATAGCAACAAATAAATTGTAACAAAAATTTCATAATTTAGGATAAGCATCTGATTGAATATTTACTGAAACAATTGAATTTCGGAATAATTCAGTAATTTATACATTGAATTGTTCAAATATCTGTCCATTTTCCTTCACACACTGTCTCAATACGTCTAATGCTTTCAAAATCATTGAAAGATGTCTTTGTCATTTCTGGAACGAAGGTGTATTGAGACGTATTGAGAAAGTGTGGTAGGGAAAATGGACATCAATTTGAACAATGCAATGGATAAGTTACTGGATAATTTCGAAATTCAGTTGTTTTAGTAAATATTCAATCAGGTGCTCATTCTACATTATGAACTTCTTATTACTATTTATTTGTTGCTTTCCTTGAACTTAACTATCGTGTTTTATCAGTTAATGTTAGTGTTGATATTGATATTGTCCTCCTCATGGCAAAATCGATAGAAATATTGCTTCAATTTGAACTTATTTCATATGGAATATCCATAGTCCACTATATTAAAATTCAATGTTTCACTCGTCCGTAAGTATGGAAAGCCTTAGTGCTTGGGAGCACTTTTCGGGATTACTAAACACTGAGCCTTTTCGTAAAATGCTCGAAGCACTAAGCACAAAGCACTAGTTCGAAAGATAGCTCGGGAGCACAGTACTTTTGAGCACAAAATTGCTCTAAGTGCTTTAATGTTTCCAATCGGAATCTGAAACACAATATACTGCATGAAAGTTCCTCACAATATGAAAGAATATTTCTCAGAATCCTGAACATTCTTTGGTATTGAAAAGATCTTGATAATCTCCCTGTAGGCGCCTCATCAGGCATGATGCATTTTTGAACATAATCAAGATATACAGTGTCATTCATAAAGTCGGAATCATATGTGAAAAACTTTTATTAATGACTTATTTTGAAATTCGAGTTGGACGTAAAGTTTTGCTTCAAAAAAATGAAAAACGGCCTACTCAATCGGGGTCACGTGACTTTCGCTACATGTCAAAAGTGACATTTTTTCAAATAAATCGCTGAAAGTAGGCTTATTTGTTCGAATATCAAAAAAGTTCACTTGAAAAAGTTGTTTCTATTCAAATTTTACATTTGTGACTTGGATTTTATCTTTCTATCACATTTTTTAGATTTTGATATTTTTTAAAAATTTTCGAAATTTCTGTATTATTAAAAAAATTGTACATTAGATGAAACTACTTTATACCAGTAGCTTCATCATGCTACTCACTCTCAATTACTAATTATCACTAATTATCGACAAGAATTTGATTTTCTTCAGAAAATTATAATCTCCGCTCCAAAATTCAGTTGTGTTTGATGCAAACATAACATCAAAATTGTGTTATGTTCGAGTCAAGCATTTAGAAACGAAATTCATTCAAATTCATTTTTTCAGTACTGAAAATATCAGTTTAAATGAATTTCGTTTCTAAATGCTTGACGATATATCAACTTTGCATCAAACAGTACATTTTCTTTGGAAGAGCACTTTTCTATCAATGCTCTGAAAATTTCTTATTATATCATCAACAAAAAGCTTAAATCAAATTTTATATTAATCAGGAGTTCCGAAATTCATGATCATCACACTAGACAATTTAGCTTGTTTCATCTTGAAGCTGCAAATTCTAAACTAAAGGAGTATACACATGAGGCGATTTCGAAATTCAATGAATTACCAGATGATATCAAAAACAGCCCAAATATTATGCAAT